TTTATGGCCTACACATAATGAGTCTCTTGAGAATCTGTTGGAAAATGTTTTAAGTGCTTCGGCTCTGTGCTATCCAATTATAATAATGCTAAATTTAGTTAGATTTTGGTTTGTCCTCATCTGCACAATGATGATAATCTCTAATTTGGACTTTCCAATATAAGCATTGTTACAAAATTGTCTGTAGTCTAAGTTTGCTTAGAAAAGGCAAAAATAACCTTAATTTTTGCAAATCTGAACAATATGCAGCATAAAAAGGAGAAAAGGCTCATTGCATAACAACTCAATTAGAACAGTGACTCTCCCTAAAGGCTCTTTCCATGGAGTTACCCAGCCCTAAAAATAATCCTACTTTATTCAAGTACACTTTTTTCTAAAACAGTAACCCCCAGTAAAACTTTCATGAGCAATTTTGGTATAGGCCACCAAAGACAGAGAAAGTAGGTAAGATATATAACAAGTTAGAAAAGTAGTATAGGTCACATTTACACCTTCAAATGATTAGACCGTTTGGCTCTATTAGGTTTACTTAATCACCTTTACCACTTAATACAGAGATCCTCCTTGCAGCAAAAATTTGAGCCAAAAGTTATAAACTTCATTTCTGCAAAACCAAGGAAGCCAGTGAGCCCTGGTCCAATAATCAAGTTTCTCTTCTTGTTAAGAATGTTTCATGCCTGCACATATACACCTTATATAGCTAGACTCTGCTATCGACTTCTGAGATAACATTTCCCATTCTCTCATCTAAAATAAAATTACTTTGCTTTCCAGGCTGAGTCAATAGTATACTTTAACCTCCTTTCTTCCCCTGTATCCTATGCTACTCCAAATCTTCATGAACTCCTTGGCCCTTTCTGTCTTCAGAGCACGAACAGTAACTTATTTAAAACCAAGATACATCGTAAGAACTTGAGAGCTACACATTAACATCCTAGGCAGTTACAGAAAGAATTTATGCTGTGAAAGATGAAATCGACAGCTAGTTAAACATAAAGTCAACATGATGAGCTAACCTAATATTTCTGTTGGACAGAATTTCTTTGGTAAATATTCTCTCCTGGTTTGTTTGTTTGTTTTTCCCCTCTCAGGCATATTAGAATTATCAAGCAGAAGCGCTGTCTTTATACACCTTTTCAGTTTCCATTTCTCTCCCCACTTTTTCTCTCTATCTGATGTCATCATAGATACAGGCACATCTGATGTATTTCAAATTGGATCCCAGTCAGTGAAAGGGTCTAGAACAGGGGTCGGCAAACTGCGGCTCATGAGCCACATGCAGCAGTTTGGTCACGTACATGCGGCTCTGAAGTAAAATTGAAAATGAAAAGAAAACCATCATAGTTTTATCTATAAAATTTTTAAAGGATATTATTCACCTAATGGTGATTTCATTTGTTTTATGGCCCTTGAATAATTTTTAAATTGTTGTGAGGGACAGGGTTGGCTCTTCCATCTCAAAAGTTTGCCGACCCCTGGTCTATAATAATGGCTTTAAACATTTAGCCGCTAACATTTATTACTTTTTTGAAATGCCCTTCTTTTCTAGAGTACTTCTTCCATTTCAGGCGCTTTAAAAATCTTCTGGAGATTTTAGGCCCATGCTCATTAATATGACCACTTGATTTGAATAAATACGTCTCATAAGTAAACATAAACCAAACTTACACTAACACCTCAAAATAACATTAAGAAGTATTTTATGGCCTAACTGCAAGCACTGCATAAAGTAATATAAATAAGGACCATCAATTCTAAGTCTTCCACAATCAAGCAGATTCTTTGGAGGCTGCAATAGTTTAGGGCACGATTCTGAGTCTACCCAGTAGAGTCTCATTCCCTAACCCACTGCTTGTCTGCTGTGCTCTGATGATGGTGACAAGAGCACTGGGCTAAGTGCTGCAGAAGCAACAGTGAGTGAACAGAAACAGGACCTTCCTCTCGCAGAACTAGAGTCTGTGCAGAGAATGACATTCATCCAATAACTGCACTTTTGAATGTATAATCACAAATTACAATAGGTGTTGTCAAGGAAGAAAGTGGGGTTCCACGAGGCATTATTCTAAGGAAGTTGACTCAGACTGAGGGTCAAGAAAAGCTTTCCTGAAAAAGTGATACTTAAGTAAAAATCTAAAGGATGACTAGATACTAATGAGGCAAAAGAATTAATAAAGAAGAAGACTCTTTAAAATTGAAGGAAAAGCATGTGAAAAAATCCTATGACAAGAGGCATGTTAGTTTCCTATTGCTGCTGTAACATATTACCACAACACAGATTGATTATCTTACAGTTCTGGAGGTCCGAAGTCTGAAATGGATCTTAAAGAACTAAAATCAAGGTGCTCCTTCTAGAGGCTCTAGGGAACAATATGTTTCCTTCCCTTGTCCAGCTTTTAGAGGATGCCACACTCCTTAGCTTGCGGCCTCCTTTCTCTATCTTCAAAGTCAACAATAGCCAGTCTAATCTTTTTCATGAAGCCATCTCTTTGGTTCTCTCTCTTCTGCTTGTCTTTTTCACTTAGAACCCTGGCACCCATCCAGATAACCCAGGACAATCTCCACATCTTAAAGTCTGTAAATTAATCACACCTGCAAAGTCCCGTTCTGCATGTCAGGTAACATATTCACGGGTTCCAGGCATTAGGACTATGGACATCTTTAGGGAGCTGTTCTTATGCCTACCATGGGAGAGACTGTGTTTCCTTTAATAAATGAAAGAAGGTCAGGGTAAAGAAAGTGAGGAGAAAAGTGGTATTGAATGAGGTTGGGGAGGTGGGCAAAGACCACACTATACATAACATTATAAACCATATCAAGAGTTTTGATCTTTATTTGAAGAACACTGGGAAACCATAGAAGGACTGACAGGTTAGACTTGATATATCCTTCTGGCTACTGGGTAGAAATATATTTTCAAATAGTAGAAGTTTGGGAAAAAGATGATGGTGACAGCAATAACAGATATTCTGATGATAAGGTTATTATTAAAATTACTGAAGTCATTTCAGATCTTTCACTTTCTAACTGGGTAATTCTATGACTTTTGTTAAATACCTGCCTGATAGTTCTATGGAGGAGATTAAATGTTACAATGCACGATGTGTCATTTGTACAGGAACAGTCCCAGGCATGAGAATTCTGTATTATTATATTGCTTCTCTTATCACTATGAATAACTCTATGCTGGTAAATTAGAAAACTTAAGTAATATGGGTGATTTTATATAAAACTAAAAAGTGATTATACCAAAAAAAAAGTGATTATACCTAAATTTCTATTTTAAAGAGAAATATAAAATGTTACTCAAGAAGAAGAAAACTTGAATAGAATAAGAATGTTTATAAACATTGAGTGAGGGAAGAGGATTCAAAAATGAGAGAATAGAGGGGACAGGATCCAAATCATGGGCTTTTGAGGCCATTCTAAGAATTTTGGTTTTAACGGTGAGTATGGAGAACATTTTGAGAGTTTTGAGAAGAGGAATGCCATGGTGTAACTTTAGTGTTTAAATTGGCTGATACTTTAAACATAGACAGAATGTATGGGGTAAGCATGGAGGAAGAGAGGTCAGGAAGAGACTACGACAATAATCCAGAAAAGATTACTTGTGGTTTAGACCAGGGTGGTAACAGTGAATGTGATGGGGAATGATTAGATTCTTGCTATATTTTGAAGGGTTTTCTGATGGATGTAAAAGAAAGAGAGGGATCAAAGATGACTCCCAGGTTTTCAGCCTGAGTAGCTAAAAGAAGAGAGTTGCCATCTATGGAGACAGAGAGACTGACTTTGGAGGTGAGGAAGGTCAGTATCTCAATTAAGAACATGATAGGGAATTCAAATGGAGTTGGGCCTTCAAATGGAGTTGTCAAGCAGTTGAATATGAGTTTGGAGCTCAGGTGAAAGGTCTATGTTGGGTATATAAACTTTGGATCCATTGGCATAGAAATAGTATTTGCAGGTAGGTGAGATCACCAAGGCAGAGTAGATTCAGAAGAGCTACAAGGACTGAGTCCTGAGGCACTCAAGTATTAAGAGGTGAGGAAAAAAGGTTAAGAATCAACAAATAAGGTTGAAATGAGGCAGCTAGTGAGGTAAGAGGAAAACCAAAAAGAATATGGATCCTGGCAGCCTTACTTTTTCCTTCTCCATTATCTACTCTTCTCCCAGATCTCAGTTAAGTGATGTTTCATTCCCCATTCTTGGTAAGGTGCCTCCACAGCGTCCTGCCTTTAATACTCTCTTAGCTATTGCCACATTATATCATAATTGCCTGCACTTATTCATCTCTTCCTCTGAATTGTAAGCTTCCGAAGAGGAGAAATCAAGTTTATATTCTCATAGAATATTTCCTGAAATTAGCATGGTGCTTGACAGACAATAACTGCTGAATACAAATTGGTTGACTTGAATGAGTTAAGTCCTTACTTATCTTCCGGTGATAGACATGTTGCTAGTGTAATAAGAAAAGTCTACTGTGATTATCTACGCCACTAGTGCCATACATACATTTATTTTATTACGTTTATTTTTCTATGTAACTATTTGGAATTTTCCAGCATTAACTGGTTGGTGTGTCTCATGGTTCTGATTCAGGCAGTAGAGGAAGAAGATGTTTGCATGTACCAAACATACATACCAAGCATGACTTCCATATGTTAGCTCAGTTAAGCATTTATTTAACGCTCATCACAAACTTGGGGAAAAAAGTATAATAAGCTCCATTTTACAAAAGGAAACCAAAGTTTAGAAATGTTAAGTAACATCTAAGATTATTCAATAGATAAGAGCCAGGGTTTAAATATATGTAAAACCCTGTTTATCTGTCTACATATATTATGTAGATAGATATAGAGATATAAAAAAGTAAAATACATATATATTATATAGATACAGATATATAAAAAGTAAGAAAAATATATTATCTATATCTAGCTATAAAAATTATTGCCTAGGCAAAATAAAATAAATAACTACTTTTAAAATACAATTATGTTACTTACTGGAAAGTATAGAAGCAGAGACCCAAAAAGGATCGTTTCCAACAGGATAAGGCCCGATGCCCTGATGCTCTAAAAAACAAAATGAAAATGTCATTGTTAGACTTACATTTCTAGGCATGGAAGAATTTATGCTATTGTAACAATGCTTCAACCAGCACAACAACATTCTTTGGGAAAAAATAAATGAAAATTGGCTGGTATTTCAGATAGGTAAACTTAACTGAAACACACAAAAGACTGACTATAAAGGAGATAAGAGACTTAATGATATTCCCAGTGCCTTCACAGAATTTCATTCTCTAAAATTTGAATCAATGAACAGTTTAAGCAGCTGAGAACACTGTCTACAGATCCTTTCAGTCCAAGCAATTCACAGACACAGAAGATCTTGCCTGTATTTCAGCTACAAGTGCATACTGAATTCTATCCCCAAGTCATTTCACAAATACCTGCACAACGGTTTCGGGGGATTAAACAAACTTATGCATAAGGTCTTGGCATCTCAGTGATACATTCCCATCAGGTAAAAATATAGTCCCCAAAATTCACTAACAGAGCCCCACTATGTGAATACTAGAAATCACATTAAATAACAGAGGAATCTTACCTCGTAAACATGCTTAAATTATTCTGAACTCAAAATTAAAAAGAATAAATTTCTTATAAATTTATTTTATTTTTCAAATAAATTGTCTGAATTTTCAGTTTGCTAAGATATTTCGTTGGACTCGAAATAGCATTATCTTCCCAAAACAAAATGCTTAGAGATGTGGCAAGAAATAAAAAACTAAACGATCAATCTTATCTTCTGAAAATACATGTTGCTTTGATGAGTTCAAATATCAATATAAAGTAAATATAACAATTAAGAATACAAACAAAAAAAACCAGGTCATTCTAGAGTCCCTGTGTTTTGACTAAATGCAACATAAAATATACACACCATTACACCTGGTGCAAATATTATATCTTAACAGGAAAATAATTTAAACTAGTAGCAATTACTTTTTCAACAACATAAAGAAGCTGAAAAGCCAAACCACAAAAGTCCATTTCTTAAAAAGAAGTATCAGATAACTGGATAGTCAGAGAAAGAAAATTCTAATTCCTCTTCCCAAACTCTGGTAGGACATTGTTAGATCCATAAAATATTTTTATGGAATCCTTGAAAAGAACTTAATTTAAGAATCTGGGAATGGAGAAACAAGTTTCATCAGTGAACAAACTTGATTATTGGAATGGCTTCTCACTATTGGTCATTATTTTAGCTAGCAATGCTTTTAATGAAAAGAAAACTTCTATCAGCAAGGCTTTAAATAAGTTTTTGTTGGTAGAATTTCCAAGATGGCAAATTACATTAATACCTAATTATGAATAATCTATGGTTTATTTATTTATTTATTTATTTGTTAGCTGAGCCATCCTGCTACCTGTTGGCAGCTTAACGGCAGCTCAGCTCGGGCCGGGCATCGAACCGCTGTTGCTCAGAGCTCAAACTCTTGAGCGAGCTCTTAACCAACTGAGCCACTCAGCCAGCCTATGGTTTATTTTTTAAACTTTCCAAGAAAATGACACTAAGAGAGTCCAAAATCTTATATAAGACAGCTTGTGAACAACCTATTTTGTTTGAAAAAAGAGAATATGAAAAGAAACCGCAAGGCTTAATGGAAATAACAGACTTTGGAGTTAACATCATCTCAGTTTGAATTATGAACAACAACTTAGAGTTAGGCAACCTTAAACTTCGTTGGCGTTATCTGTAAAATGGGTTTCCTAATCTTTACCTTATTAAATCTGACAGGTTTAATAAAATAAGAAGTATACAAAATGGCTAGCATCATGCCAGATACTTAATTAGTAGGTATGTATTTTTCAAGGTAGGAAACAGCACCAGGATGATACACTTGAAAACCACAGAAGTACAAGTAGCCATCAAAAATGTTTTAATGCTGGGATACAAAATGACCTTAGAAAGAGCCAAGAGCCCAGGGGTAGGGAACACAGTGGGTCTTTTTTTAGAGCCAGTAGGTTCTTAGCTGTGTTATGACCATCACTGCCACGTAACAATAGTGGTCGTGGAACATGCTTTTATGTATTCTCAGAGCAAATAACCTGTCTCCTGCTTTTCATTTGGAAGTGTTGAGAGATCTTAACACTGCATTGCCATGCTCCTGGCTGAGCACAGAACCCATAATTTTAAGTTATAAATTGGAACTCCACTAAGTCGTTCCATAATCAAATGTAAGGCCTGTTCAAAATGTATACTTTTCATTTCAGAATATTCTCCGGCAGAGCTGACTTCATGGCCTCACAGTATGAGCAGGTACCTAATAGGTGAGACTTTAGGGACAAAGAAGAAACCTCACGCTCCCCGAAACATTTCTCCATTTTTTTTTATCGGTACTGAAAGTTCTTTTAACTAAAACAAAGCCTTTTATTTTGTACTTGGTGCCAAGGATTAATAAAGTCATGTAAGTAATACATGGGCTTAAGTTCAAAGTGAAAAACAGGAATCTTTTCCTTAGAGTCTAAGCGATATTATAAGGAAGGAGAGAGGAGGTGCTAAGTATGCAGGCCAGAGAGGAGGGACTGAAAGCTGAAGATGGATGAGGGGGACGATGAGCAAAATAATAGAAGCATCTCCTTCAGAGTTTGGCCTGAGATGAAAAAAAAAAAAATGGTGGTATGGAAGTCTTTTTAACCAGAATTGCTAACTGGGAAACTTGAAAAATTTCCTTAAAAGATGATCAACAATATACAGTATGATTCTATTTATATAAAACATATGCGCAAATCAACACCATAAATTTTTTTAGGTGTATATAAATACATTAAATATGAGTCTAGAGGATACACCAAGCTGATAGCAATGTTTTCTTCTAGAGAAGTGAATAGATTTGGAAGTATTCCAGATATATTTTAATTTCTTTTAATAATTAAATAAAATTAAGAAACTTCATCTAAAATGTGTCAACTTAACTATTAGAAAATTCAGTATTAGGTATCATAATATGCAAAGAAGTGTAAACAAAGCCTTTCCTAACTAATATCTACTTATAAGTTTTTATTCAGTACCAGCTGCATGTATTAAATTATCCAATATTATATTTGTGACACTTATACATAAATATCAAACTGAAGGAGTTAGCATGGAGCCTAACTCTCTGGTTTAGAATCCTTGAAGTCTCATAAATATAATTCCAGAGTTTACAATTCAGGTGAGCATATTTAATCTCCATTCCAGCTTCCCTATTTCTCAAACTCTCAGAACTGACTTATGAAGGTTTATAACAGTCAGATGTCAAAACTGTGAACCAAAGAAAAGAGTTAATCTTATTAGACCAATTTTATGAAATTGTGTCAAAGTCAATTTCTGAATTCCATAATCTTTGGATGCAAAGTATAGAGGCATAAAATGAAGCACAACTGTCACAAAAAGATTTGCCCAGGATGTAAGTACCCAGAGGAAGTTAAGTCATTGGAAGGAATAAGATGATGAGAATGCTGAAGTCTGGATTTTTAAAAAGTAATTGAAATGGTTTATCATTATTTTCTTGATTCTACAGGGACTAAAGGTTTCATTTTTTAAAAAACATTTTTCATCACTGGGGAAATTAATATACTGTATATCTTGGTAAAACAGTGCAGTTGTTGGGGTCATAGTCGATTTCTTCAGCTTTTGGAGCAATTAAATTTTATTTCTATTAAAAAAGGAACCTCTGAGCATGAAGATATTTTTACACAGCTGAACCTTAAAATGTATGATGAAAACATAAGAGAGCAACAGGATAAGATTCTGAAATTAATGAACTACAATAGCATCGGTTTGGATGATTAACCAAGACTCCATAAATCTATATCATTTACAAAAACAATTAACCATGCTAGCATGAGCTGCACTTTTTCTTTCAATTCTTCTATTTCTATAGAGAAATCCATGAACAGAAAAGTTACAAATGAAATCTGACAAACACCTGATGAAATAATTATACAATAATAAATGAGAAATAGGATGTAAAGAGCAGTCTTGAAGAGAATCCTAGCACTGAGAAGCATGAAGACATTATTCTTTCAATAATTTTACTTACAATTATATAGATAGATGAGTATAGACTACATCCAGTTTGACAGATTACATGCAATTAGTTTGTCTCAAGAAAATCTGTGATAAAATGCCAAAAAAACAATCAGATATATATATAGAAAAATTTGTCAAGGGAAAATTGCCCAAAATGTGGTTAGTTAAAACCAGTATCAGTTTTTCAGAAAAATTCTCTGCAATAAAAAAGGTACAAAAAAAGCAGAGGAATATGGTCAGGACAGAGATTCCCAAAGGGAAATATAAATAACTCAGAGAATTATCAACTCATGGAATAAAACACATAGGCTTTATATCCAGGTGGTTCGAAATCTCAGCACTGGCCGCGAATTAGCTGTGTGACCTTGGGCAAGTTGCTTAACCTTTTGAGCTTCAGTGTCTTCATTTATTAAATTGGTGTATGACGTCCACTTTACAGTTCTGTTGTAAAGCTAGCAATAATGCTGCCTGGCAAATAGCAGGAACTCAGTCAATAGTAGTTGATCATCAACCTTTCAAGGACAGATAGAGGATGTGAGGTCAACGGGCTATCTACACTCACTCAGCTGATGAGTGACAGAACAAGGTCCCGTCATGCACAGCGGCTGATTCCCAAGTCAAGGCGATTTCCTCCCGTAAATCCAATCTGACCCTCAGTCGTTAATCTTACCCAAACTAAATGGAACGGAACTGTATGCTATAGTATAATAACAAAAACATGTAGCACTACTACAGTACTTAAAAATAAACTACAAAAAAATAAATAAACTATAAGCAAGGGGTTTGGTTCACATGTTATAAAAAAAATGTGACAGTCAATTTAAAATTCCAGACATTTCTATGTAAAACATTATCAGAAAGTGTCACATTACCTTAACTAGGAATTCTTTCTAATTTCTAAAACTTTACAAGAAAGCCCATTTTTCATGATAGGATAATTTCTAGTGGAGCTGTTTAAGGCCATTCGGAAAAATTAGTTTATCTAAAAATA